GTTCTGTCAGGCCTCACTCTCTCTCGGCCACATCGGTGAGTGTGGCAGGGGAGCCAAACCTAGGTTTGAAATAAATGACTCTTTGCTTTTGCATCGGACTCGCTGGCTCCCTGGTGGGCTCTTGGGAACCTTGAAATCTGGGCACAACATAGTAACTCGGAGGCAGTGATGGAGGAATCGTTCAGGGAGGTCAGTGTACGCGGGCATCTGGTCTGGTTTGGGTATTAACCCCCACTGCGGGGGTAGGAGGGGGAGCTCTGTCTTCTGTGCTGAGATGTGTGACGGCCAAAGGCTTGCAGGCTCAGGTTCCTGGACCAAGTCTCTCCACCACATCATCCCATTCCTTTCAACCCACAGAAGTAAAAGTTTCGGGGGTAGGTGAACCAGTCAGCACATTTAAAATTAAGATTTTCATTTAAGATTCTGTTTTCATCCTCCTCCTGCAAGGTTACTGTAAATTTGCTTTTAGGTTCTATGTATGAATATACGACGGCTATTTTCTCAGTACTTACATTTTTTAACTCTTTTAAAAATTTGTATTTATAGCTTCTATTCCATCTCTCTCCTTTTTCCCTGTGTTCATTGTTCCTCAGTGAAGTGTGTATATAAACAGGGTATATAAAGACTTTTTAAAAGTTTTTATGATTTTGCCGAAACCGGTTTGGCTCGGTGGATAGAGCGTCAGCCTGCGGACTGAAAGGTCCCAGGTTCGATTCCGGTCGAGGGCATGTACCTTGGTTGTGGGCACATCCCCAGTATGTGCAGGAAGCAGCTGATCGATGTTTCTCTCTCATTGATGCTTCTAATTCTCTATCTCCCTTCCTTCCTCTCTGTAAAAAATCAATAAAATATATAAAAAAATAAAAGTTTTTATGATTTTTTAAAAATGTATTTTTTATATATATTTTTATTGATTTCAGAGAGGAAGGGGAGGGAGAGAGAGATAGAAAGAGCAATGATGAGAGGGAATTACTCATTGGCCGCCTCCTGCACCCCCCACATGGGATCAAGCCCCCAACCCCAGGCAGGTGCTCTGACCAGGAATGGAACCGTGACCTCCCGATTCATAGGTTGACACTCAACCACTGAGCCACACCAGCCGGGCTATAGTTTAAAGGAAAGATTTACAGTTCCTCACTGTCCCTACGACCTCATTTCTATAATTGTTCTGAAAATTAACCTGCCACTGAGGCACAGTGCTGAGCTGTTCTCCTTTGCCATTTTCTCTTTCACATTCAAGCTACTTATATCTTCAGGGTCTTATGTTTCATTACCTCAGGTGTGATCTCTAGGGAACTAACTAAAGAGCCAAAATACTGGGGACCATGTGTTAAGGTGAGTGCGTAGCAAGGGGAATGTCACCCTGAACGTAATCTTGCTCTTCATCCCATAGGTTTTGACAAGAGATAAGAAAAGAATGAAGAAAGAAGAGGTTCCAGGACCTAGATGTTGTCCTTTCTGGGAACACTTTCAACTGGAGAGTGAGATTTTTAACTAGAAATTTAGGACATACCAAGAGAAGAGAAAGACGAGTATACCAGCTGCTGGCCATTTCCCCAAACAGACGGAAATGACCCAGGCCCAGGTAACGTTTGTTTTATTCTCTCCTTTATTCCCTAATGGATTTGTAGTGGCCTGTAAAAATCAGTTCAGTATCCAGAGTGAAGTAAACTTTGAATCTAACTCCAACATCAGGGAAAATTAGGACCAAGAATAAAGTATTCATGCCCTAGCGTGTTTGGCTCAGTGGATAGAGCGTCCACCTACGGATCAAAGGGTCCCAGGCTTGATTCCGGTTAAGGGCACACATACTTTGGTTGTAGGCTCCTCCCCAGGAGGCAACCAATTGATGTGTTTCTCTTACATCTATGTTTCTCTTTCCCTTCCCTCTCTCTAAAATCAATGGTAAAATATTCTTGGGTGAGGATTAAAAAAAAAAGCAAAAAAATTACTTTTTTAATTAACTTATTTAAAATATATATATTTTTTTTAATTAAATTCTCCTCCACTCTTCCTAAAAATCAACGAAAAAATATCCTAAGGTGAGGATTAACAAAACAATAAAAAAAGAATGTAGTATTCATATGATTCTGAGTAAATGACTCATGTTAGCATGTAACATATAATTGAAGGATCCTCTGGGCTACATTAGCTAGTAGCTTGTGTCTAATGTCTGTGGCAGCCGACACAAGAGAATCATGCTACATTATATGATATGTATCATGTACTGTGAGGAGACAGCAGACGGTTCCTCGGAATGTCAATATTTCTTAGCACTGAGGTCTCAGGGAAAATGTTATACTAGTATTCTTCCTAGAGGTGATGGGTGGACAGTGTTTTGAACTTCTAATAAAGGCAGAGGCAGATTTCACACTGCTGTTTATTCCAGGGCTCTTCACAGACCCATTAGGGAAGAGACCAAGCAAACTCAGTGAACACAGTTTTGTCAGGGACCAAGGAAAGTCAGTCAGAGGACTCAGCCTGTGTCTGGTTTTAATCCAGTAATAAAACCTAAATGGCCTAGGAAAATGGGAGGATTGCATGGTTTTCTTTTTAAAAAAAAAAATGTTAAAGTTCAGATTTGGCCTTAGATAGTTGCAAGAAATTTTGTCTGATAGGAGCTTAAGTTATTGGGTTCCAGAGTGTGTGCTTTATAACTTCACGTCATGTTGGAAAATGTATAATCCGTCCCCATTTTCAAATCCAATTCTGACCTCTTCTTTCTTTGCTTTTCTATAATTATGCAAATTACTCACAGATATTGTTTTTAAAAATATGATTTTATTTATTTGAGAGAGAGAGAGAAAGAGAGAGAAACAGAAACACTGGTCGATTGGTTCACATACATTTTAAAGAAAAAAATATCCAATGATGAGTGCCCATGGGCAAAAAGTAAATTTCCTCTTTGTAACGCCCTTCCTCATTGTCCCTCATATTGTTTAACAAATGTTTGCTAGTGTGTTTTGCTGTCACTAAACCTATGTGTGCATCTACATATATGTGCCTATTTACCGATGTATGTGAATTTGTGTACATATCTGAGTACATTAACACATCTATTGTGACATTTATGTATCACTGATACATTTATGTATCAATGGACTCATACTTCAAAGAACATGACCTGTTGGCCTATGATAGTGTAATTTAAGCATCTAAAGGAATAATGACAGCAATTGATTGGTGGATATTATCTATATGTAAAATTCCATTTGTCCACAGTCATACTAAAAAAAAAAAATGAATTGCAATATGTAAAGCATTTTGATGAGTGCCTGCTACATAGTATGTGATATGTGGGATCATCCACACCTTAAATCTTTGCCAATACTTAATAATAGGACATTATAAAATTTCATAATTTTCAGCAATCTGAATGGCCCAATATTCTTTAGCCTTATTTTTCATTTTCCTCAGCACAGGTGAGGTTGAAATCCTTGTGTATTTTGTGGTCAGTTGGATTTTTTTCTATTGTCAAATGCCTGTCCTTATCATTTTTACATTTTAAAAAAACTATATCTTCTTACTGATTAATAAGTATGATTTATATCCAGTCTATATTGATCATTTTGTTTATTAAAAATATTTTCCTAACTTGTTAGTTTTCTTTTAGCTTTGTCCATGATATCTTTGTAATGCAGGTGCTGTAAATTTTCCTCTCACAAAACTTTTTTTCTTTCCTTTCTTTCTTTCTTTTTCTTGGTTTTGTTATTCCTCACCTAAGGATATTTGTTCCATTGATTTTCAGAGAGTAGAAGGGAAGGAGGGAGGGGGTGAGAAAGAAACATCAATGTGAGAGAGACACATCGATTGGTTACCTCCCGCATGCGCCTGACTGGGCTGGGGATGGAACCTGCAACTCAAGCACTTGCCGTTGACAAGAAATCAAACCCTCGACCCTTCAGTGCTCAGGCCAGTGCTCTAACCACTGAACACACCAGCCAGGGCTTGTTATTGATTTTCTGTGATTTTTTTTTTGGCTTTGATGTGAACATACTTCATACTCTCCTCTCTCTATTCCTTTCATAGATTACCTTATTTTATGGTTAGCACTTTAAAACAGGAAAAAAGTATTTGAACCTAAGTTTTCATTTTTCCAAATGAATCTGCATCTCACATGAAATAACTCAAGATGTGGTCAGATCAGCAGTGTTAAGAATTTGCAGCCGCTACCAAGTCTGCTCTCTTTTCTATGTAGTAATGTCTGCAATAACATGGAAAAGAGTATCCCATAGTTTTTCCCTCTCTGGCTGCTCAGTTGACAAGCAGGTCTCAATTTATTTTCTGTTGACATTTGAGCTTAGGCTGCAGGACCACAGGATCAGGACATTGAAGATATTCCACACTTCTGGGCTGTTTTTTTAAAAATATATTTTATTGATTTTTTACAGAGAGGAAGGGAGAGGGTTAGAGAGTTAGAAACATCGATGAGAGAGAAACATCGAACAGCTGCCTCCTGCACACCCCCAACTGGGGATGTGCCCGCAACCCAGGTACATGCCCTTGACCGGAATCGAACCTGGGACCTTTCAGTCCACAGGCCGAAGCTCTATCCACTGAACCAAACCGGTTAGGGCTTTCTGGGGTGTTTTTATTCATAGCACTTCTAACACCAAATGTGTGGTCATTTTTCTCACATCTACCCACTCTACAATTCTCGGGACACCAGCTGGGTGTCTGACAATTCAACTCAGTTCGGACACTGACTACCTGGGGGCAGCGTCAGGTCCCACAGGTTAGGTGGTAAGTCCCACAGACTGACCCCACTTTAGGTGCCAGTCGGAAGTCCCAGGTTGTCACCTCTATTTCTGATGACCAGCTCTAAATCTGGGGTCCCACAACCTCCTTCTCAGGATTGGTAATTTGCTGGAATGACACACAGAACCTGGGAAAGCACTTCACTAGTTTATTATAAGGGCCACAACTCAGGAATAGCCACCTGGGAGAGATGCGAAGGGTAAGGCCTGGGGGAAGGGTGCGGGGGCCTCTCGGGAGCACCACCCGGCCAACATCTCAATGTGTTTACCACCCTGGAAGCACTCCAGACCTGTAGTTTAGGGGGTTTTATGATGTAAGCATGGTTGATTAAATCACTGGCCATTAGTGATTGAACTCAACCTCCAGTCCCCCATCCTGAAGCCATCTAGGAACCCCCAGTCACTAGTCATCTCATTAGCATACAGAAGACACTCATCAGAGAGTCCAAGAGTTTTAGAAGCTGTGCCATGCCCTAGCCCAGTGGTCGGCAAACCGCGGCTCGTATCCCCAGTAGGGGGCGTGCCAATCAGTGATTCTCTCTCATCATTGATGTTTCTATCTCTCCCTCTCCCTTCCTCTCGGAGATCAATAAAAATCTATTTAAAAAAAAAAAGAAAGAAAGAGAAACTGTGCCAGGAACCAGGGACAAAGACCAAATATGTTTCTCGCAACATTTTTTTCTGGCTTCTGTTGCCTTTATTTCAGTAAATGTTGTCTTTCTTTTGATAGTAATTTATCTTTTCTTTCTGGTTGTTTTTATAATCTGATTTTTTGCAGCTGGTGTGCTGTCGTTTCAGCTGGAAGTGTCTACATGCAGATTTCCTGCATGGCTTTGCTGGGTTACTGAGTCTGAGTTATAGGAAGTTTAATCTGTTCTGACATTTTCTCATTCTTGAGATCTTCGTATCACTTTTCTGTTTCTGTATAATCTCTTCCAAAAACCGCATATGCTAGACCTTGCTCTATCCATATTTATTAAACTCTCCTTTATATTTTCCATCTATTTCTGGGGCTGCTTCATTTTGGGTTATTTTTAAAAATGCATATTCCACTTTACTAATTATCTCCCCAGTGTATCTAATATGTTAACCTTTTGTGAAATAAGAAATATATACATTGGGCCCTGGCCAGCTAGCTCAATTGGTTAGAGCATTGTCCCAATATGCCAAGGTTGTGGGTTTGATCCCCTGTAAGGGAACATAAAAGAAGCAACCAATGAATGCATAAATAAGTAAAGCAACAAACTGTGGTTTCTCTCTCTCCCTCCCCCCTCCTTCCTTTCTTCTTTCTTCTTCTCTCTCTCTCTCTCATCAATTAAAAAAAATTTTTTTTAAACCACACTCACATTATAATTGGTGTCAGAAGTGTAGTTAATATGAACAGGACAACTTCCTTTATATTATTTATGGCCAGTAAAGGAAAAACACTCCCTAGTAAACAGGACCATGTTGTTACAGGAACCGCTGACACTGGAGGATGTGGCCATGGACTTCACCTGGGAGGAGTGGCAGCTCCTGGGCCCTGATCAGAAGATCCTGTACAGGGACGTGATGTTGGAGACCTACAGCCACCTCTTGTCAGTGGGTGAGGACAGCTCCCGTGTGTTAGTCAGAGGGCACCCGGTCAGCGGTCTTTCCTTTCCCGGCTGCATATACTTGGGAGTCACTGCAGTGCTCTGAATGGCAGGTTCTCAGTGCCTCTTCTGGCTCCAGATAAAGACATATAATATACTATAAACTCCACCAACACAACTGATACCAACTGTGTGGGGGTTTTCTACACCAGCAGTAAATTCTCCAGGTACCAACTGCGTGTCCTGCAGCTCAATTCAATTCTGTTTTGACACTAATACCCAGAGGTAGCATCAGACTCCACAGGTTTAAGGGCTAATACCACAGGACCACCCTCACTTCAGATGCCAGTCACAAGTATTATGTATCCAGGATACATCTTGGCTATAAATCTGTCCAACTTGGCTGTAAATTTGGTGTTCCAACAACGCCCCATGCCCACTCAGGTTTAATAGTTCACTAGAATGGCTCCTAGAACTCAGGAAGGCACTTATTACCATGGTCAGTTTATTATAAAGTTAAAAAAAAAACCCACTTATAAATGGCCAAATGGAAGAGGTATTTAATATATTTATTGATTTTTTTACAGAGAGGAAGGGAGAGGGATAGAGAGTTAGAAACATAGATGAGAGAGAAACATTGATTGAGCTGCCTCCTGCACACCCCCTACTGGGGATGAGCCCACAACCAAGGTACATGCCCTTGACTGGAATCGAACCTGGGACCCTTCAGTCCGCAGGCCGACACTCTATCCACTGAACCAAACTGGTTTGGAAGAGATATTTAGGGCAAAGTGTGGAGAAAGGGGTGTGGACCTTCCATGCCCTCTCTAGGCACACCACCCTCCCAGAATCTCAAAGTGGTCATCAAGCTGGTAGCTCTCCCATCCAGGTATTTAGGGATCTTTAGGGAAAGTCCATGATGTAAGCATGCTTGCGTAAATTCTTGGCCATTGGTGATTCATTCTATCTCCAGCCCTCTCCCTCTCCACAATGAGAAGGGTTGGAGCTGAAGGTTCCAGCCCTCTAGTCATGTCTTTGTTTTCCCGGATCAGTCCCACCCTGAAGCTATCTACAGCCTCCAGCCACCAGTCATCTCCTTAGCACACAGAAGGCACTCATCACCCTGAAGAGCCCAGGGGTGTTAGCAGTTCTAGTGTCAGACTCTGGAGCTTACACTATCCGAAAAGATGCTCCTATTATGCTGTTCACAGGAAATTACAAGCGCTTTAGGAGCTCTGTGTCAGAGCCTGCACAGAGACCAGACATAAATCACCGTGTCACATGCGCCCTCTCCTGAGAGCAAAGTCTCTGACATGTGCGAACTGTCTCGTCCCTTAAACATAACATTCTCCCAACCCAAGTTTTCTGTCATTTCCTATGAACAGGGTATCAAGTCAGCAAACCAGATGCTCTCTCCAAGTTGGAACCAGGGGAAGAAACATGGACAATAGACAATGAACTCCACAGACTAGTCTGTCCAGGTGAGTGGGTGAGAACAAACAAGGCAGGTGTGGGGGAGGAGAATCATTTTCCTTTTACCCTTCTAAGTTCTTCTGGAAGGGCTAATCATCTAATTGACATGAAACAGATTAAAAGGAGGAAATAACCCAATCTATTATGTATGTACATACAGGGGCTCTATAAGAATATGGGGCCCAAGGACAAATCAGGCCGCTGAGATAGGTATAATGAGGAGAGCAGGGTTGTGATTTGGGCTTCAAAGGAGAGGAAGTCAAACCACATGGAGATGGCAAAGCCAATATTTTGTAAATAAATGTTTGCTGGGCATCTTTAACAATGGGACCCGGAGAGGAGTTGGATTAAAGGGCCTCGCCAAAAATAGATCCAGAGACAAATGTCAGGGGAGGTGGGGGCAGGGGGGTTAGAGAGCAACCAAAGGACTTGTATGCATGCATATTAGCATAACCAATGGACATAGACACTGGGGCAGTGGGGGCTTGCTGGGGTGAGGAATGGCTACAGGGGGGGGCCGCCCTTCCTTCTCTCCAGAGAAACCGCTTTCTGATTTCACTGATTTGTTTTCCTCACACTTACACTTTGTACAACTGATCGGACCATTTGTGATCTTTTGTGCCTAGCTTCTTTCAATGAACTTAATTTTCGAGATTAACTACCCAGAATGGTACTTTACCGCCCAGTTCAAGGGAGGTCATAGCCCCCTGGCATCTGCGCTAGGCTGGCCCATTGTGGCGTTTATTCCTGCAGCTCAGCTCTCTTTAGGTGGGACACCGACCATCCAGAGCTTCTCCAGGAGGAGGTTCTGGAGGTCAGTGAAGACTGAGGAGCAGCTGAGAGGGTTCGGGCCTAGAAAAAAGACTTTATGATGAAGAATCTACACTAATAAAAGAGAAACATGGTAATTGGGGTACGACCGCTACCCTTCCCATTGGCTAATCAGGGCGATATGCAAATTAACTGACAGCCAAGATGGCGGCCAGCAGCCAGGCAGCTTGAAACTAACATGAGGCT